AGCAAATCCTAGGCTCTGTGGTTTAACCCACAGCGCCACCCGCGTCCCTTGCTCAGTTGATTGTACTTTATTTCAAACCTCCTTCATTGGAGGTTTTTAAGCAGAGGTTGGCTGGTCATCTGTCATGGGTGCTTTGGTTGAGATCTCTGCATCGCAGGGGGTTAGACTGGATGACCCGACTCTACAATTCTATGATACTGTGATTCATGTTGTGTTTTAAATCGCTGTGACCTGCCCTGTAACCTTGGTGTGAAGGGGAGGAAGTAAACCAAACAATCATAATAATTTTGTTCCCATTTTCTGAAACTCCTTGACTATTCATCTTAGGGAACTGTGTTCATCATACTGCAATTTTTCATTGTGCAAATTGTATTCTCTGATCCATGTTGTAGATAAAATACATTTTTAAAAAATGAAAACACAATATGAAAATCGGCGAAAACCATTTCTTGTTGTTGTTGGGCATCTACCTGTCTTGAGAGGCAATGGAGTGTACCTTCAGGGGCGAAGTCAAACCAGTGGAGAATCACAGCACCTGCTGGGGCTGAAGACTGGTAACTCGTAACTGCTGCCTCTTGCATTGTTTTTGCTGTATAGCAGCACTGAAGTGACCTCGCCCTGGCTCAAGCCTGGGCAGTGTGTATGGAGGTCCTGGGCTGCCCAGGCAATAAGATCCCCCTCTCGGCCTCACTGATGTGGTCCAAAGGAAATCAGAGAATACACCTGGCACCAGCTTTGATGTAGGAGTTGCCAAAAGGAGGCGTACAAAACGCCTTCCAACTGTCTTAGGAACTCCACTTGGAATTTGTTGTAGGGTTTACTCCTTTAACCTTTTCTTCTCCCAAAAATATCCTACAATTTACAACTAAAATAACAAGGTAAAGTGGTGAGTCTACAGTATACCTTCCAACATTTCTCCAATGAAAATAGGCATGTCCCATTCCATGATATTTTTACTCTTTATATCCCACACCTTATTGGGTTGCCCCATCACTCTGGGCAGCTTCCAACACATATAAATACATAATCAAACATTAAACATTTTTTAAAAAAACCTTCCCTCTATAGGATTGCCTTCAGATGGCTCGGGAAACTCCATACCCTCCAACATTTCTCCAATGAAAATAGGGACATCCTAAATTAAAGCAGGACATTCTGGGATCAAATCAGAAACCAGGACGGCTTCTCTAAATCTGGGACTGTCCCTAGAAAATAGGGACGCTTGGAGGGTGTGCTACAGCATATGAAAAAATTGTACAATGAAGGTGCACCTCTGCAGGAAGGGAAGTGCACACATTTGTCAGAAAACAGTGCACAGCAATAATGTATAAATTAACATGCTATATTCAGGTAGGTAGCCGTGTTGGTCTGACGCAGTCGAAATAAATAAAAAATTGTCTGGTAGCACCTTAGAGACCAACTACGGTAAGTTTAAACAAAAAAAAATCCTTCCAGTAGCACCTTAAAGACCAACTAAGTTAGTTCTTGGTATGAGCTTTCGTGTGCATGCACACTTCTTCAGTGGTATCTGAATAAGTGTGCATGCACACGAAAGCTCATACCAAGAACTAACTTAGTTGGTCTTTAAGGTGCTACTGGAAGGATTTTTTTTGTTTTGACTATGGCAGACCAACACGGCTACCTATCTGTTACGGTAAGTTTGTTCTGGGTATAAGTTTTTGTGTGCATGCATGGTATCTGCAAAAGTGTACATGCACATGAAAGCTTATACCCAGAACAAACTTAGTTGGTCTCTAAGGTGCTACTGGACATTTTTATTTTATTTTAACATGCTATGTACAAGCAAGCGAAAATGTGGCCTATTAGATTGAAGCTGTTGAAAAATGTGCAATTTGCATCTCTCTTTTGAACAAGACCATGCTCCTTGGTTTCTTTATTTTAAAAATTGCTCGCAACAATTGCTTTCCACACAATTTCTTTTTAAATTGCAAATTTAAAGGAATTACAAGACCTTGCGGGTGCCTTTCCGTCTTATGCCCCTACCAGTCTCATGAAACCAGCTTGCATCTGACCCCAGCTACCCCAGTGGAATAAATTTCCAGTGAGTGAGCTGTCCTTCCTTACCTGTTGTAAGGAGGGCGAAAAAAAAGAAAAATCCACGAGATCCTGCATGGTGATGGGAAATCCAGAAAAGCTGTCACCAAGGTGAATCAAATACTCTGGCTCAAAGGGCCTGTAAGGACAGCAAGGGGGGGGGGAGGGAGTCAGCCAACACCTTCGCAGAGTATCATAGGTTGCTGGCACCTGGGGCAGGGCAAGTGTTGCGCCACCTGGTGGATTGGGTAGCTGGGGTGAAGATTCCTCCACCAGGGAGCCCAGAGGAGCTTGCCTGGCTGCCCAGAGCAGCACAGAATGGCTCAGAGAGTGCACAGGCAGGCAGGCTCCTAGCCACTCTGAGCCAGAGTGGAGAGGTGTGATTTTTGCACACACATCCCTGGGGCCTGAATCCTTGGGAGGGGCCAACCTGGTTAACTTCTAGGTACATAACCTGTTGATGAGTGGATGTTGCGTTCAGGTACACGCCATCAGCAGGAGTAACCAAACAGCTGGCGGGATGGATTGATCATAGCTGAATCCCGCTGAACACAATGCACCCCACCTTGAAGCCGATGTTCAGTCTACCTCCACTAACTGCCGTCTAAGCCGCTAAGATTCTGTTTCCCTTAAAGCAACAGTACCTAAGTCATCACAACACTTGGGGGCAGGAGAGTGTCTCCCTCGGAATGGAATCAAGGGGTTCAATGAGGCTGAGGGTACGTTCTGTCATATGTGGTGAACTTCTAAAAGAGTAAAAGAGTATTGGGAAATAATTTATAAGGAATTGAAAAAAATGTTTTAAAGTACTTAAAATAAAAAGAGTCCTGGGGGGGGGTAATTCAGGTGGAAATTCCCAGGTGTCAAAAAAGGCTATTTATGTATGCCACCATCGCTGCCCGTGTTTTGTTAGCCACAAAATGGGAAGCGAGCGAGGTCCCAGCTAAATAAGAATGGCAACTTAAACTAATGGAATACATGCAGCTGGCAGATGTAACTTAAAGAATAAGAGAACAAGAAGAATATACATTTAAAGAAGATTGGAAAATGTTTAATGAATATATGGGTGAAAAGTGTGTACATTTGAAAACGTTGGCCGCATTAAGATAAATTCAACAGTGTAAATAAATGAATGCAAAGGACCTGAAATAAGTCGTCAGGATTGAGGGTAGGATTTACAGACCATTCTAGCTAATAGAGGATGTCTTCCTAAGATATTATTATTGTCGTAGTTATTATTAATGCAATTCATTATCCACCCTTCACACTAGGGTCGCTGGGCAGATGAAAGCAATTAAAACAGAACATTAATATTAAAACATAATAGGACATAATATTAAAAATAGGTGTGGGTGGGTGTAATATCTATCTATCTATATCTATATATCTATCTATCTATATATATATATATAGATGCAGGTTTTGGTGTCCTCGGGTGTCTTCCCGTGTAAAAGTTGGGGTGTCTAGGCGACGTTTCGACGAGGTCTCACTCGTCATCTTCAGGCTGGTGCTTTGTATACATGTATATGTATATGTATATACGTGTATATATATCTATATATATACACGTATGTATATACGTGTATATATATAGATATATATACACGTATATACATATACATACACACACACACACACACACACACACTAGCCATTACAGAAATAAGATGGGTCCTAAAAACATATATTTCAAGTGTCTAAGCCAAGGTAAAGAGGTTCGTCTTCAGCATTCACCCAAAGCTGTATAATGAAGGTGCTGGGCACACCTTCTCCCTGGCCACAACTCCTGAGCCTGTGAGGGCAGTGGAACAACCAAGAGGGTATTCTCTGCCGATCGTAGCACCAGAGAGGGTTGGTAGAGAAAGAGACGGTCCTTCAGAATTGTGGAGTTGTGAATTTGTTTAAAGTTTTAAACACTAATGTGAGAGTGGTCCAGAAATTAACTGGTAACCAGTGCAGCTGTATAAATAAATAAAATAATAATAATAATAATAATAATAATAATAATAATAATAATAATAATATATTATTTATACCCCGCCCATCTGGCTGGGTCCCCCCCCCACCACTCTGGGAAGCTTCCAACAAAACACTAAAATACAATAACCTATTAAACATTAAAAGCTTCCCTAAACAGGGCTTCCTTTCGATGTCTTCTAAAAGTTTGGTAGTTACCGTATTTTTCACCCTATAGGACACACTTTTTAGCCTCCAAAAATGAAGGGGAAATCTGTGTGCGTCCTATGGGGCGAATGCAGGCTTTTGCTGAAGCTTGGAGAGCGAGAGGGGTTGGTGCGCACCGACCCCCTCGCTCTCCAGGCTTCAGGAAGCTATCAGCAAGCCTGGGGAGCCCGCGGGAGTTCCCGCAGGGCTCCCTAGGCTGCGGATAGCAGCCTGCTGCCCGGTGCGCAGGGCGTCCTGAAGCAGAGCGCCTCGCTGCCGGGCAGATATCTGCAGCCTGCTGCTGGCGCACGGGGCGCCCTGAAGCAGAGCGCCTCGCCGCTGGGAAGATACCCGCAGCCTAGGGAGCCCCGCGGGATAGCAGCCTGCTGCACGGAGCGCAGGGAGCGCAGCGCCGCCATCCCGCTGTTCCCCGACCTGGTTTTTTTGGGGGGGGGAATAAAGGAAAAAAAATTATTTATTTCCCCCCAAAAAACTAGGTGTGTCCTATGGGCCGGTGCGTCCTATGGGATGAAAAATACGGTATTTTTCTCTTTGGCAACTGGTGGGAGGGCATTCCACAGGGCGGGCGCCACTACCGAGAAGGCCCTCTGCCTGCTTCCCTGTAACTTGGCTTCTCACAGCGAGGGAACCGCCAGAAGGCCCTCGGCGGTGGACCTCAGTTTCCGGGTAGAACGATGGAGGTGGAGACACTCCTTCACGTATACTGGACCAAGGCTGTTTAACATGTGAGGGGGTCATATAAATAAATAAATACACACACACACACTTCATTTGGATTTATTTCTGATAGTACTCACAGTATGCTGGCATTTTTATCAATATATGAATACTGGCAACTCAATTTATATATATAAATTGGTGTGGGTGGGTGGGTGTGTATCCAAAAAACACTGTGTTTAACCATCGAGAGAGCCAAACTGCATTCAGAGAAAGTGGTGAATGAACAAAAGAGAAGCATAAATGAATGCAGAGATGCTAATTTAGAGTCAGTTAAAAAACAAAAACAAAAATGAAGCATGCATTCATGTTTTATTTGCTTTATTCCTGGTTGCTATTTTCACTGAGGAAAACAAGGAAACTGGGCTCATCCACACTTGCCTGGAATGCATGGGACATAGTGGTTTCCTGCTTGCCCCACACTTTCTAGGCATGGGTCTGAGCGGTTTCACCTTTGCACTGCCGCTTTCCTCTGGAAAACCCACTCTTCGGTGCTAAATCAGCACAAACAGCAAACCACGGGAAAACCCAATTTCTTCTGATTCATTGCTGAATATTGGGTTTCCCTGGGAGGAAGCACCAGGGCAAACAGATGTGTGGAGAGGCCCTCTATCTGGAAGGCTAAGCTTTGTTAAGAAAAAGTGTTAAGCAGAGCAGGGAATGAATGCAGAGATGGTGCAAGTTTCTCACAGGTGCCTTTTACCAGGGGATCTTCAGGAACAGGAGCCCAGAGAAGATTGGCAGGTAGAGCCCAGAGGATTGATATCCCCTCGAAGGATCTGGGGTACACCTGGCATTTACGACGATAGTATCTTTTTCTTCCAAAATGGGAGGCATGCCTTTGTTCATTGCAGCACAGGTAGACTTGATAGTGCAGCCCTTCATAATTATGTCTCTGAATTCTCCATCTGGAAACGGAAGATGAGATGGGCTGATTATGTGGGAATGTTCAGGGTGGCAGGAGAGGATATGTTGTTTATTAAAATCCTTCCTAACTTGTGTCAGCAAGTTCCTTTATGTAGCAGAGTTACATTCCCCCTTTTATATGCACAGCAAATAGCTGGTTGCAGGCTTGTGTGAGCCTCTCACTATTATACAATTCAATCAGTCTCAGATTGAATTGTACGTTCCTGGTAAATTCCCTTGAATCCCTCTTAAAAGAATAAAGACGCGACAGTCTTATTCAAAGGCAATAAAAGAGGTTTACTCACATCAGTTCACAGTTGGATTCCTGAAGGCAGACTAAGTTACAAATATGTACATGTGGATCTACTCCATATGGGGGAATAATCCCAGTGCTTCTGCTAGCTGAGAGCTAGCAGAGCGGTCCTAGCAAGAAGCTGGTCAAACGAAGAAGGAAGTAAAAAAGAGGGAGGTGAGCTGCGTGACTCATCCTTTTGTTACCTGGACAGGTTAGGTCATGTCCACCTCTAGTCACATGCAAAAGGAAGGATGCTCCAGCCAGGAGAAACAGGAAGTTTCGACTGGCTGGACCAAACATTCCCTCGCATGTCTTCTCTAGCATTACAAGGAATGTTGTTCTTGACTGCCTCTCATGGATCATATCCCACAGATTAGAAAGGAATTGTAATTGCCAGTAACAGCCCCTCCAAACTAGCCTGTGGTTCTTTGGATTTGACCCAGGATCTTTGCCATGCAAAGTAAATGTTCATGCACTGAGCCATGATCCTTTCTCCAAGTGTGGGGTGATCACCTCCCTTTTCTGGTAGAAGCATCCCCTTATATTTTCTGAAAGGCAGCAACACCCATTTCTTCCATGCGCCGCATCAATCCCAAACCAATGCGGCTACAAAATGCATGGGGGTTTGGGACTGAAAAGGAGCACTGCATCTTACCGGCTTTTGAGCGTGAGAGCACATCAAAGCAGAACCTCTCCGGTCCAGTACAGTTCACCATATCTGCATTGCATGTGCCAGACCAAGAGTAGCAGGAAGGACACTGCTTTCCATTGGCTTTCGGATTTATTCGTTGCGCTGAAAGCACTGACGGGGTGGGGTAGTGGAGAAGGTTCTCAGTCCGAAGGATTGGAGAAGAAAGCAACAGAGGTGCTACAGCAGAAACAACCAATTTACACACACACACCCCAGAACTTAAGTCACTGAGAATAAATCCTGCTCAGGTTTATGATGGTCATCAATTTATGAATCCAGCAACAAGTGCAATGAAATAAATAAATAATAATAATACTTAAATTTCTATACCACATTTCCCCCGAGCACAAAGTGGCATGGTTCACCCACTCTTCATTTAACCCTCACAACAACCCTGTAAAGTAGGCTAGACTGGGAGATGATGACTGGCCTAAGGGCACCCAGTGAGCTTCATGGCTGAGCAGGGATTTAAACCTTGGTCTCCAAGATCATAGACTCATAGAGTTGGAAGGGACTGTGAGGATCATCTAGTCCAACCCCCCGCAATGCAGGAATCTTTTGCCCAATGTGGGGCTTGAACCCATAACCCTGTGATGGCCTGGGACTCGGGCTCAAACTAAGAACCAGGGGAGTCTCAGTCCGCACTGGATCCTTTGCCTCAGGCGGCAGCTGAACCTAGTCTGGGGCCTGATTCTGAAGAACTCCAGTCTGCACAGGTTCCCCTGCAACAAGCACCAGCTGGGCCGAGTCAGGGGCCTGAGCCTGCCCTGGCTCCAGATGAGGGGATTACCTCATTGCCTTCAGCTGGGCAATCACTTACAGCTGCTCCACTACCAGTTGAGTCAGGAGAGGCTGAGGCAGCGTCTGGGTCTAGTAACCCACCAACATCTCCCAAGCTGCAGAGAGTGAGGTCTGAGAGAAGGAGACCTGAGTAGTCACAGGAGGAGTGCTTGCCTTTGGGCAAGACATGGAGGTGAGTCACCGGGGGATCAAGACCTGGCCCAGCATTCTAACCACTGCGCCACACTGGCTCGCAATGCGATGCGACCTTCGGAATGCAGTGTTGCCGAAAGCTATGGCAATCTGTCATGGATGCTTTAGCTGAGATTCCTGCATTGCAGGGCGTTGGACTAGATGACCCTCAGGTCCCTTTCAACTCTAAGATGATTCTATGAAAAGGAAATAGTGGTGGTAGGACAGGGGGAAGAGAAAATATATGCACTTACAGCGTGGAGGGACTATCAATCTACAGTCTTTGCCAGTGCAACATCTCAGACTGGTCCTTATGCTTTTCCCTTTCCCTATAGTCATGTGCTTTGGGGGATAACTGCACTTGTAAGAGGGTGCGCAGCCTTTCACTACAGTCTGAAGCACCTTGCCATCTGCAGAAGAAGGGAAGAGAAAGAGGTTCATTCAGTCACAATGAAATGAAAGCATCCACCTTATTTCACACAATATTAAGAGTGGTTGATGTGAATAGGGGTAAGGAACAAATGGCCTAGGGACACGGGTGGCGCTGTGGGTTAAACCACAGAGCCTAGGACTTGCCAATCAGAAGGTCGGCGGTTCAAATCCCCATGACGGGGTGAACTCCCGTTGCTCGGTCCCTGCTCCTGCCAACCTAGCAGTTTGGAGGCACGTCAAATTGCAAGTAGATAAATAGGTACTGCTCCGGCGGGAAGGTAAACGGCGTTTCCGTGCGCTGCTATGGTTCGCCAGAAGCGGTTTAGTCATGCTGGCCACATGACCCGGAAGCTGTACGCCGGCTCCCTCGGCCAATAAAGCGAGATGAGCGCCGCAACCCCAGAGTCGTCCACGACTGGACCTAATGGTCAGGGGTCCCTTTACCTTTACCTTACAAATGGCCTTCTCTCCTCTGTTTTTAAAAACTGAGGTTTATCTCTTCTCCCTCCTCTCCCCCTTGTGAATAAATTATATTTTTCTCTTCTTTGCAAGCCTAACCTTCCCTCTCAGACCCCTGGAAGCCGCAAGGCGTCTCTATCTGTTGGCAGGGCTACGGGCCTTGGGACAAAGCAGAGGAATGGGGACTCTAGTGATTCAAGACAGCTTGATAAGGTGGGCAGTAGAAAATGCAACATTTATATGGGATAGTAGAATTAGCTACGGTGTTCTCGAAGCTACAAACATGAGTCTGACCAAACTGCGGGAGGCAGTGGAAGACAGGAGGGCCTGGCGTGCTCTGGTTCATGGGGTCACGAAGAGTCGGACACGACTAAACGACTAAACAACAACAGAATTAGCTAAAGAATGCAGACCCTCCAAGTGTCCCTATTTCCCAGGGACAGCTCCGGATTTACAGAAGCCGTCCTGGTTTCTGATTTGATCCTGGAATGTCCCGCATTTCCTTAGGACGTCCCTGTTTTCATCTGAGAAAAGTTGGAGGGTATGAGAACACAACTTTGATGAAAGGTTCCCCACTGCCGTGGCATTGTTTATTGAATATAGGAGCATGCTTCTGTAACCATTGAAAATGTACACGTGTGCAGATGATCCCTCAAGTAACTTATGCATATTCATAACATATAGTGTTATGGCCTCGGTCCAGTATACCTGAAGGAGCGTCTCCACCCCATCGTTCTACCCGGACACTGAGGTCCAGCACCGAGGGCCTTCTGGCGGTTCCCTCACTGCGAGAAGCCAAGTTACAGGGAACCAGGCAGAGGGCTTTCTCAGTGGAATGCCCTCCCACCAGATGTCAAGGAGAACAACAACTACCAGACTTTTAGAAGACATCTGAAGGCAGCCCTGTTTAGGGAAGCTTTTAATGTTTGATGTATTACGGTATTTTAATATATTTTTTGGAAGCTGCCCAGAGTGGCTGGGGAAGCCCAGCCAGATGGGCAGGGTATAAATAATAAATTATTATTATTATTATTATTATTATTATTATTATTATTATTTGAAACTTTGTAGATAAAAATGAGCTTCTTGCATTTGCTTTGTGTGCAGAATCTTGGAGTGTTAACTCTCTGTGCCTCTTTCTTGCTTAAGCTTGAAATAAACCTTTTTCTATCGTTCCACCCAGACAGTGTTTTCCTCTCTTTGTGTGTGTGGTCCTTTCCTGGTTTACACTTACCTATAATACTTTCAAGAAACACAACAATGCAAGTATCTTGGCCCTCAACGCAGGTCTTCATCCTGCCCATGCAATTGGTGCCAACATCAGCACAAGTTTCACACTCCAAAGAATTACCTGGAAGAAGGAAGAAAAGTGATCCTTTTGTAGGGGTATAAAATAGCGCTAACCCTCTTGACTCCTTTAAGCATTGCATGGCTGCTTGCCATCCCAGTCTCCAAACGTTGTGAGATTCCAGGGGTTCCTGGCGCTTCCCCAAGGTTCGTGTTTCCTTTGGGATGAGGGACAGTGGAGACTGTGGTGCCTTTATGATGCAACCTTGGTTGTCAAATGGCTTGGCTCCCAAACAAATCGGCTCCCGAACAAAGTGACCCCCAAACACCGCAAACCTGGAAGTGTTCCAGTTTGCGAACATTTTTGGGAACCCGAACGTTCAATGCAGCTTCTGCGGCTTCCAATTGAGTGCAGGAAGCTCCTGCAGCCCATCGGAAGCCACACCTTGGTTTCTGAACAGTTCCAGGAAACTAACAGACTCCAAGAACAGATTAAGTTCGAGAACCAAGGTACCACTGTATATGGTTTATTTACACATATATACAACCAGAGCCTGCAATGGAGGGGTTCGCAGCATTAGCACCCCAAAAGGGTCTAGCTGCAGACTTGGATTCAAGCAGAGTCTTGCTGGCTTCCAGTCGCTAGCTCACGTAACTCATCTCTCAAATCTGGCCTTTGTCTTTCTAACGACCAGTGAATTGAGGGAGAGGGAGCCACCTATTTTTTTATCTGGTACAGAGCCACTTCTTTTGTTACCTTAATGACCCATACTTAGAGGGCCTCACCAGAAAGCTATCTCGATGATTCCAAGAATGGAATCTGTGCTGGAGCCAGGAATTAGAAGGGGGATCAGCAGGCCAGACCTTTGGCCTCTCTAGCTCAGTACTGTTTACACTGACTGACAGCAGCCCTCCCGGAATGAGTTCCCTCCAGCTCTACTTGGGGATGCCAGGGACTGACTCTGAGACATTCTGCATGCAAAGCAGGTGCTCTGCCACCAAGCCGAGACCCTTCTTTCAAGATTTTTTGGAAACACAGACTCTAAAGAGCCTCTACTCAGGAAATTTTAAATTCTTTCCTTCCAACTCTGCGACAACAAACACTCAACATATTATCCGTCTTGCATGCCCATCTCCAACTTGCTCCCAGCTACTTCTTACCCTTGGTCAGAAGTATGAAGAAGAGGAAAGATCTCAGGAGAGTCTGCATCCTGGTGGGACGGCCACAGGGGACAAGCAATGGAGAAACTCTCTATGATGAAACAAATTTTCTGGCACCAAGAGCCTGCAAGAGTATGCAGAGGGAAATGTCTGCGTGTCAAATGGCAACTTCCCACAGTGTGTATGTAAACATTTGACAAGGCGTAAATGGTGACTTGCTCATAATCTTCAAAAGCAGAGGGATGATACAATTCTCCTCACTTGGCAGAATGTTTACCATGTGTGTTTGTTTTTGTGTGTGTGTGTAAGATCTTGAAACTCCTAACCCTTATCCCATTCAATAACTTGGACCTCAAATATCTGAATGAGCACTTCCCTTCCTATAATACAGCCTGAGGAATAAGATCAGCAAAGGATCCACCTTTTTTACACGTTTGGAGGGCAGCAACTCAGTTGAGGGTCTTCTCAGTGATGGCTCCATGAATGTCAGACTCCCTTCCCACATGCTATAACCTATCCACAGATGTTTTGTGTAATGTGAGTAATAAATACGAATAATGCAATGATAATGATGTATATTATATTATATTATATTATATTATATTATATATTATATTATATTATATTATTATATTAATGAACTAGAACATTTGACAGAGGATGACAGCAGAGATGTTCCATGGGGAAGAAATATCTTTTTATATTTCTGTATGAAATTCCTGGGATGGCAGATCATCACAACCTGCTGCACTCAGGGGCACTTTGAACATGAGCAGCAACAGCTATAGAATCAAGAACTGGCTTTTCTAACTGATTTAAGGGTCATTTTCAATGTGACCCATATCAAGTGTGCATTCAGAAGTTCAGTTCAACCCCATTAATATATGAGTTGCTGTTGGGTTTTTAAAAAAATATATGTGAAAATTTGCAATTAAATGTGTATTTTATCTCAATATTTGCAATTCTGAACCTAGCATATCAGGAAATATGCATTTTGGTACATTTTTTGAGCCGAAAACTATCACAAAACTCATAAGAAATGCAAAATCTGAAGTATACATTCTGACTGAGGTATTAATGAGAGAGGTGTGAATTAAGTTTGCTTTTTTAAAAAGCAAAGTTCTCCATCACTAGTTCTTAAAAAACAAAACAGAGATGTTTCCATACCCTCCAACATTTCTCCAATGAAAATAGGGACGTCCCATTCCATGATGATAATTTTAATATTTATATCTCACACATATTACTGGGTTGCCCCAGCCACTCTGAGCAGCTTCCAACATATATAAAAGCATTATAAAACATTAAACATTTAAAAACTTTCCTGATACAGGTTTGCCATCAGACAGTGGGGAGGCAGGGTGTGTTGGATAACTCCATAACCTCCAGCATTTCACCAGTGAAAATAAAGGTAAAGGGACCCCTGACTATTAGGTCCAGTCGTGACCGACTCTGGGGTTGCGGTGCTCATCTCATTTTATTGGCTGAGGGAGGCGGCGTACAGCTTCCGGGTCATGTGGCCAGCATGACTAAGCTGCTTCTGGTAAACCAGAGCAGTGCACGGAAACGCCATTTACCTTCCCGCCGGAGCGGTACCTATTTATCTACTTGCGCTTTGACGTGCTTTCGAACTGCTAGGTTGGCAGGAGCAGGGACCGAGCAACGGGAGCTCACCCCGGCGCAGGGATTTGAACCACTGACCTTCTGACTGGCAAGTCCTAGGCTCTGTGGTTTAACCCACAGCGCCACCAGGGACATCCTAAAGAAAAGTGGGACATTCCAGGATCAAATCAGAAACTGGGGCTGCTTCTCTAAATCCGGGACGTCCCTGGAAAACAGGGACATTTGGAGGGTCTGAACAATTCAAGACAGTTCTTGGACTACCCTTATAGCAAATGTACACTGTGGCTGTATTTTCAACCACATCTAGGTCGGGCTGGTTGTTGTTTTAACTGCAGACAGAAATGCAAGCTTAGGGGGGAAATGCAGAAATGTGCAAGACGAGATGGACTGGAGATAGGAATTTATCTATCTTTGCTCCAAGAATAGGAATGAGTTAAAGCAGTCTCCTACAGAAAGGTAGGCGGACTTCTGGCCCATGGGTCTAATGAAGTCTGCCCATTAGACTTTGCAAGACTCATTTTAAAACATCTGCACTGTTTGCCAGTCTGTTTCTGGGCCCATTTCAAGGTGCTCATGCGCTTAAAGTCCTAATCAGCTCAGGCCCCAAATACCTGAAAGGCTCCTCCTTCTCTACTGACGCCCTTGGCAAGGGGGAACAAGCCCTACTGCTTGTCCCACCACCCTCAAAAGCACAGTGGCAGCAGCAGTCGCACAGGGAGAGGGCCTTCTTTTCACAAACCGCTTTGAGATCTTTTACAACCGAGCAGTATATGCCTTTATGAAATTAATAAGAAGAACGAACGAATGAATTCTCTGTGGCAGGCAGCCCCTGAGGCCACGCCGACGCCCCACATTTAGAGATCTAGAATACCAATTTAAACAGTTATGGCTTCTTCCCCCAAAGGATTCTGGGAGATGGGCCTGAACTTCATAGGCACTGTCCTGACCAGGGCCGGCCCAAGGCATTTTGGTGCCTGAGGCGAACTACAAAAATGCCGCCCTACGCCCTGCGGAGAAGGAGGAGCTAGTCAAGGTCAGAAACAAGAGGGGAGCAAGATCTGCTTCAGGATCTGCTGCCCCCGTTGATCCTGCCACCTGAGGCTGATGCCACAGGTTGCCTCATGGGTGGGCCGGCCCTGATACAGACCCATAAAAGGCATCCTTGAAGCCCCACCAACCGGGGCCCTAAACAGCCTCAGTCCAGTATACCTGAAGGAGTGTCTCCACCCACATCATTCTGCCCGGACACGGAGGTCCACCACCGAGGGCCTTCTGGCGGTTCCCTCACTGTGAGAAGCCAAGTTACAGGGAACTAGGCAGAGGTCCTTCTCAGTAGTGGCACCCGCCCTGTGGAACGCCCTCCCACCAGATGTCAAAGAGAAGAACTACCAGACTTTTAGAAGACATCTGAAGGCAGCCCTGTTTATGGAAGCTTTTATTGTTTAACAGACAACTGTATTTTAATACTTTGTTGGAAGCCGCCCAGAGTGGCTTGGGAAACCCAGCCAGATGGGTGGGGTATAATAAATAAATAAATTATAATATTATTTATTATTATTATATTATTATTATTATTATTATTATTATTATTATTATTATAATATATAAATGTTTTAAACTAAGCAGGTGCCAAAACAGTGCAGTGGAGATGCCTGCCTGGTGTCAACCACACTAAAACAGCAATGCACACAAGTGTAAAAACATTCAGAGAAATCAGCTGCAACCTTCCAACAGCTTGACCTCACCCACAAAGGTGCTCTCCATCACCTCCTGAGACAGACAGAGGCCAACAATACAATACTGGCAGCAGATAGTAATATGTTATTGTAATAAACAGTGTAGCATTTTCTTTGCAGGACGGAAAAACAGGGCACAGTTTCAAGATAGTATATTTAAAAAAAGATACCAGTTTGTGCAAGGTTTGGAGCTGCCAGCATCAACACCTTTTTAACAGCCCACAAACTTTTTTGGCTTGCCTGGATGTTGGTCCTCAGGGCACGGAAGTGAGACTCTGGAAACCTCGCCAGTAATGCTGGCTTAATCACTCTGGAAACTGCATCACACCAAGCATCAGATCTCTGCTCCATCGAGCTCAGTACTGTCAGCACTGACTGGCAGCGGCCCTCCAGCTTTTCAGAAAAGAAGGCATTCCCAGGACGCCGGAAATTAAATCTGATACGGTTTGCGTGCAATGCGTGTGCTTCGCCGCTAAGCTGCAGCCTTTCCCCCCATTTGCAGATGGTTGGAAGAAGCAGAAATACGGGAGAGGAAGAAGAAACCAGAACCACGAAAGCAGCAGCAGCTGCAGGACTGCTTTCAGCAAGGAGGGAGGCTAAAGCCAGCTGCAGGTGCGCGCGCGTGTTTTTGTGGGCTTCAAAGTGGGGACCCCGCAAAATTTGGCACGCACTCTTTCTCCCTTGCACTATTTCCCCCTCCCCTGCCCCGCTACAAACTCAAGGCGGGTGGGTGGCTGTTGCCACAGCTTAAAGGGCTTGGAAGGGGTTTTGAGCTCACCTTCAGTTCCCTGCAAAGCGGCTGGAGTCTTCCTCGAGAGTAGGCATCCGCTTTGGTGCCGTTCCTCCCGGGGGAGCCCCGCGCTGCCCCTGCGTCTAGTCCGCGCCATGTCGCAGAGGGAGCCCAGGTTCCCCCGCCTTCGAAAGCCGCCTCTCCCTCCTCCCCGTCCTCGTCCTCCTTCGCCGCCCACTTTCCCGTCATGCTCGTCCCCTCTGACCTCCGGCTTTCGGCGCCACGCCACGAAAATGGCGGCGGGAGCAGCGGCCTCGGCGGTGCCATCCAGGGCGGCGGCTGTCCCTGCCGAATGGATCAAGAACTGGGACAAGTCGGGCAAGACCGAATTCTTGCAGCTGTGTCGTAATCTGTCTGAAAATGTCACTTTCAGAGGTATCCAGCAGGCTTTATATGAGCTTGCATCCCATGTTGTCAAGGGAAACCTAAAGCATGACCAAGCATCCAGTGTTTTGAAGGATGTAATAGAATTTCGGGAAGACATGCCCTCCATCCTGGCAGATGTCTTTTGCATTTTGGATATTGAAACTAGTTGCTTAGAAGAAAAAAGCAAGAGAGATCAGTTCATGCAGTTGGTGTCAGCATGTTTGTACTTGGTTTCAGATACTATACTAAAAGAACGTCTGGACCCAGAAACATTAGAATCGTTAGGGCTGATCAAGCACTCTCAGCAGTTTAATCAGAAATCTGTGAAAATCAAGACAAAACTTTTCTATAAGCAACAGAAATTCAATTTATTAAGAGAAGAGAATGAAGGTTATGCAAAACTGATTGCTGAACTGGGCCAAGATTTATCTGGCAATATCACTAGTGAACTGATCTTAGAAAATATCAAATCTTTAATAGGGTGTTTCAACCTTGATCCCAATAGAGTGTTGGATATTATTTTAGAAGTCTGTGAATGCAGGCCAGAGTATGATGGATTCTTTGTACCTTTGATAGAATCTTACATGTACATGTGTGAACCTCAAACACTCTGCCATATCCTTGGATTCAAATTCAAGTGTTACCAGGAGCCAAATGGAGAGACACCTGTTTCTTTGTACAGAGTTGCTGCAGTACTTTTGCAAAGCAATCTGATAGATTTGGAAGACCTTTATGTACATCTCCTTCCAGCAGACAACACTATTGTTGAAGAATATAAACGAGAAATTGGAAAAGCCAAACTAATTGTGAGGAAACTTACAGTGGTTGTATTATCTTCTGAAAAGACTGAAGAGAAAGAGAAGGAAAAGGAAGAGGAGAAAACAGAAAAACCACCTGATAACCAGAAACTGGGCTTATTAGAAGCAATGTTAAAAATTGGTGACTGGCAACATGCACAAAACATTATGGACCAGATGCCTCCATTTTATGCAACTTCACACAAACCTATTGCTGTTGCTCTTTGTCAGCTTCTTCATGTGATGATTGAACCTCTCTACCGAAGAGTTGGAGTACCCAAAGGTGCCAAGGGGACACCAATTTTTCCTTTGCAAAACAAGAGAGCACCCAAGCAAGTGGAAAGTTTTGAAGATTTAAGAGAGGAAGTGATCAACATGCTTTGTTACCTTGGCCCCCATCTCTCTCATGACCCCATATTGTTTGCAAAAGTAGTGCGTCTTGGAAAAGCATTTATGAAAGAGCACCAAGCAGATGCAGGCAAGCAAGGGGATAAAGAGAAAATGGAGTTATTATTCAGCTGTTTGCTGAGTATTACCGACCAGGTTTTGCTTCCTTCTCTTTCTTTGATGGATTGTAATGCATGCATGTCTGAGGAACTCTGGGGGATGTTTAAAACATTTCCATACCAGTATCGGTATCGCCTCTATGGACAGTGGAAGAATGAAACATACAATAGTCACCCACTACTGGTGAGAGTTAAAGCTCAGACAATTGACCGAGCCAAACACATTATGAAGCGTTTAACCAAGGAAAACGTAAAGCCATCTGGAAGACAAATAGGAAAACTGAGCCACAGCAACCCAACCATTTTATTTGATTATATTTTGTCTCAGATACAGAAGTATGATAATTTAATCACCCCAGTTGTCGACTCATTGAAATACCTCACTTCTTTGAACTATGATGTCTTGGCATATTGCATAATTGAAGCACTGGCTAATCCTGAGAAAGAGAGGATGAAACACGATGACACCACAATCTCCAGTTGGCTTCAAAGTTTAGCTAGCTTCTCTGGTGCTGTTTTTCGAAAATACCCTATAGAACTAGCTGGTCTACTTCAATATGTGGCAAACCAGCTAAAGGCTGGGAAAAGCTTTGACCTGCTTATTTTGAAAGAGGTGGTGCAAAAAATGGCTGGAATAGAAATCACTGAAGAGATGACAATGGACCAGCTAGAGGCCATGACTGGGGGTGAGCAGCTGAAAGCAGAGGGTGGATATTTTGGGCAGATCAGAAACACTAAGAAATCTTCTCAGAGATTAAAAGATGCACTTTTGGACCATGATCTTGCCCTTCCACTGTGCCTTCTCATGGCTCAACAGAGAAATGGAGTGATATTTCAAGAAGGAGGGGAGAAACATTTGAAGCTGGTGGGAAAGCTCTATGATCAGTGCCATGATACTCTGGTACAATTCGGTGGATTTTTGGCATCCAATTTAAGCACAGATGATTATATTAAGCGAGTGCCTTCTATTGATGTTCTCTGTAATGAGTTCCACACCCCTCACGACGCTGCATTTTTCCTTTCACGGCCTATGTATGCACATCACATTTCATCCAAATATGATGAATTGAAAAAGGCTGAGAAAGGGAACAAACAGCAGCAGAAAGTTCACAAATATATTACAGCATGTGAGCTTGTGATGGCCCCTGTTCATGACTCGGTGATCTCCTTGCACATCCCAAAGGTCTGGGATGATATCAGTCCACAGTTCTATGCTACGTTCTGGTCATTGACAATGTTTGACCTTGCTGTGCCACATAGCAGCTACGAACGGGAAGTCAACAAACTCAAAGTCCAGATGAAAGCTATTGATGACAACCCGGAAATGCCTCTGAACAAAAAGAAAAAAGAAAAAGAACGCTGTACAGTTCTTCAGGACAAGCTTCTTGAAGAGGAAAAGAAACAGTTAGAGCACGTGCAAAGAGTGCTGCAGAGACTGAAGCTGGAAAAGGATAATTGGCTTCTTGCAAAGTCCACCAAAAATGAGACTATAACAAAATTTCTGCAGTTGTGTATATTTCCTCGGTGTATCTTTTCTGCCATTGATGCTGTTTACTGCGCTCGCTTTGTGGAACTGGTGCATCAACAGAAAACACCAAACTTTTCAACACTTCTTTGTTATGACAGAGTATTCTCTGATATAATCTATACTGTAGCCAGCTGTACTGAAAATGAAGCTAGTCGATATGGCAGGTTTCTCTGCTGCATGCTTGATACTGTAACTCGGTGGCATAGTGATAGAGCCATATATGAAAAGGTGTGTGGCAACTATCCCGGCTTCCTCACCATATTACGGGCAACTGGTTTTGATGGTGGGAACAAAGCTGACCAGTTAGATTATGAAAATTTTCGGCATGTGGTGCACAAGTGGCATTATAAGTTAACCAAGGCATCTGTACACTGCCTGGAAACCGGTGAATATGCACACATCAGAAATATCCTGATAGTGCTGATCAAAATCCTGCCATGTTACCCCAAAGTTTTGAACTTGGGCCAAGCTTTGGAGAGAAGAGTCCATAAGATCTGCCAAGAGGAGAAAGAGAAGAGACCTGACCTATATGCATTAGCGATGGGCTATTCTGGACAGTTGAAAAATAGAAAGCATTGCATGATCCCTGAAAATGATTTCCACCACAAAGACCCACCCACCAAGAATGTAGTACCTACAACAGTGCAAAATGGGCCCGGAGGAGCTGGGCTTACTTCTTCACTCACAGTAAATGCAGCTAAACTGGAAGAAAGCACAGCTGAGGAGACTGAGAAATTATTAAAGGAGAAATCTCAGGGTGCTGTTAAAGTGATTAATAAAGCTGCCAGTGCAACACCAAAGCTGACCGCAAGCAATGGTAGCAATGCTTTCAACAGCAAAGTTATAAAAGAAAAAGAAGAGAAAGAGAAATGCGGGAAGGAAAAAGAGAAGGAGAAAAAAGAGAAAACTCCAGCTGCCACTCCTGAGGCCAAAACACTTGGGAAGGATGGGAAAGATAAACCAAAGGAAGAAAGGGTGAACAAAGACAAAGCAAGAGATAGCAAGGAAAAGACACCTAAGACTGATAAAGAGAAGGAAAAGAACAAGAGAGAAGAGAAGTCGCCAAAGGATGAAAAATCCAAGATCATTGTGACCAATGCTGAGTCAAAGTCAGCTGCAGAAAAGGAGAAAGAGAAGGAGCCGTCCAGAGAAAGAGAAGTAACCAAGGATGTGAAATCCAAGGAAAACATTAGAGGAGGAAGAGAGAAGGCTCCAGTAGTTGGGTCCTTGAAGTCACCTGTTCCCCGATCAGAAGCATCGGAATGTGAAAGGGAACAAAAACGTCGTAAAGTTGATACCCATTCTATTCCATCACATTCCTCAACGGTAAAGGACAACCTCAGCGAACTCAAGGACTCTTCAGCAAAGCACTGCATTAACCACTCAACTCCAACACTGTCCATGAGTAAAGAGAGAGAAGTGGACAAGAAAGATTTGGACAAGTCGAGGGAAAGCTCCAGAGAGAGAGAGAAGAAAGATGAAAAGGAAAGGAAAGATCGAAAAAGGGATCATTCAAATAGTGATCGGGAAGTGCCTCAGGATTCAACCAAACGTCGCAAAGAGGAAAATGGAACAACTAGTTCTTCCAAACATAGTAAGAGTGAAAGTTCCGCTGATTCTCCTCACTCCAATGAGAAGGAAAAGGACAAAAGCAAATCAAAATCTTCAGGCAAAGAGAAAGGAGACTCAGTAAAAGTTGAAAAGATGGAGAAAAGCTCTGGTAGCAAAAAGGAGCCCAGACATGATAAGGAGAAAACAGAGAAAAAAGAGAAACGGGACAGTACTGGAGGAAAAGAAGAAAAGAAACACTTATCAGAGTTGCTGCCAAGTATTCTCTTAAAATGAGAAGATACTGAGGTGTGACCATATATGTATTTTCCGGAATATACATTGCACAGAAGATTGTGAATGAAGAGGAGCCATC